ATGCTTGTAGACCACCTTCCAGAGATCTAACACGACGCCATCGTAAAAATTCGTTGCAGTCAGTTTATCACGATGAAGCTGTAGGTCAACAAGCTCAAAACAGGATTCAGCCAAAAAAGCGAGCCTGAAACTTTTTATTGAGCTCAAGCTATTCAACTGATGCACGTTTGCAAAACAAGGGTTAAAAAAAAAGGATGCAAATATAAGCCATCAGATATATGATGATTGTGCAGGAACAGTTGGGATTGTCGTTTGTGTCACGCTCATCTCTTATCCATTGAGACACTGTGAAGTGATGTAACCAGTGAGGTTTTGTAACAGCTTTATTGAATTGTAATGAGGATATCTACAAACGTTTGTGTACAAATGTGTGATAATTAGCAGGTCTTTGACCTCTGCACTTAATGTGGTGATCAAAATGTATTTGCGATTCCCAGTGAAATCATTCTTTGAGTGCTTAAAAAAGAAATTCATACGGATGTATGACTGTGTTAGACGTTCTCATTTATATTCCGATTGAACGTTTGTAACAATAATTAAGTCACACTCAAGGAACATATGAACGTGTCCATCGAAGGAAATATCGCAGCTCGTGATGCAACGCACACTAATCAACATTTGCACTTGCAGACCAACTAAATAGTTGCGGAGAAAACACATTTAATTGATGACTTTACTATGTTTAGATTAGGACTTTTCAAAGGCGAAGACTGGACTCTTTAGCCATCTTCGTGTTCATAGGAATGATTAACGGAGGACTTTTAAAAGCGAAGACTGGACTCCTTAGCCATCTTCGTGTTTATAGGAATGATTAACGGAGGAATTTTAAAAGCGAAGACTGGACTCCTTAGCCATCTTCGTGTTTATAGGAATGATTAACGGAGGAATTTTAAAAGCGAAGACTGGACTCCTTAGCCATCTTCGTGTTCATAGAAATGATTAATGGAGGAATTTTAAAAGTGAAGACTGGGCTCTTCAGCCATCTTCATGGTTAAAGGATGTAGTTGAGGATTTTTTTTCAAAGAAGATCGGTCTCCATGACCATCTTCGTACTTATAGGAAAGGATATTGTATTAATTTGTTTAAAAATTGAGGATTTTTAGCTGAGGACTAGGTGTAGTAATATAGTCATCAATTGAATTGTTGATCCAAGACTAAATTGTTGGTTATGTCTGTGCATTTGTAGACAACCCAGCAGTGCACATCCTTTTTCTTGTTTTGCTTTTTTTCACGTGCTACAATGCCTTGGACAAAGCATCATCATAACTTGGAATGTTAAGAGGCATTCAAAACAAATCATAGAAGAATGAGTTTGTAAAATAACCGCTTATTTCGGTTCAGTTGAATAATAGTTGGGACATAATTAGTTGAGTGCAAGCTTTGAGGCTGATTCAACCCATTCAACATTAGTTGAGTGCGAAGTTTGTGAGGCTGATTCAGCCCTCAAACCGGATGCTTGTAGACCACCTTCCAGAGATCTAACACGACGCCATCGTAAAAATTCGTTGCAGTCAGTTTATCACGATGAAGCTGTAGGTCAACAAGCTCAAAACAGGATTCAGCCAAAAAAGCGAGCCTGAAACTTTTTATTGAGCTCAAGCTATTCAACTGATGCACGTTTGCAAAACAAGGGTTAAAAAAAAAAGGATGCAAATATAAGCCATCAGATATATGATGAATTGTGCAGGAACAGTTGGGATTGTCGTTTGTGTCACGCTCATCTCTTATCCATTGAGACACTGTGAAGTGATGTAACCAGTGAGGTTTTGTAACAACTTTATTGAATTGTAATGAGGATATCTACAAACGTTTGTGTACAAATGTGTGATAATTAGCAGGTCTTTGACCTCTGCACTTAATGTGGTGATCAAAATGTATTTGCGATTCCCAGTGAAATCATTCTTTGAGTGCTTAAAAAAGAAATTCATACGGATGTATGACTGTGTTAGACGTTCTCATTTATATTCCGATTGAACGTTTGTAACAATAATTAAGTCACACTCAAGGAACATATGAACGTGTCCATCAAAGGAAATATCGCCGCTCGTGATGCAACGCACACTAATCAACATTTGCACTTGCAGACCAACTAAATAGTTGCGGAGAAAACACATTTAATTGATGACTTTACTATGTTTAGATTAGGACTTTTCAAAGGCGAAGACTGGACTCTTTAGCCATCTTCGTGTTCATAGGAATGATTAACGGAGGACTTTTAAAAGCGAAGACTGGACTCCTTAGCCATCTTCGTGTTTATAGGAATGATTAACGGAGGAATTTTAAAAGCGAAGACTGGACTCCTTAGCCATCTTCGTGTTCATAGAAATGATTAATGGAGGAATTTTAAAAGTGAAGACTGGGCTCTTCAGCCATCTTCATGTTTAAAGGATGTAGTTGAGGATTTTTTTTCAAAGAAGATCGGTCTCCATGACCATCTTCGTACTTATAGGAAAGGATATTGTATTAATTTGTTTAAAAATTGAGGATTTTTAGCTGAGGACTAGGTGTAGTAATATAGTCATCAATTGAATTGTTGATCCAAGACTAAATTGTTGGTTATGTCTGTGCATTTGTAGACAACCCAGCAGTGCACATCCTTTTTCTTGTTTTGCTTTTTTTCACGTGCTACAATGCCTTGGACAAAGCATCATCATAACTTGGAATGTTAAGAGGCATTCAAAACAAATCATAGAAGAATGAGTTTGTAAAATAACCGCTTATTTCGGTTCAGTTGAATAATAGTTGGGACATAATTAGTTGAGTGCAAGCTTTGAGGCTGATTCAACCCATTCAACATTAGTTGAGTGCGAAGTTTGTGAGGCTGATTCAGCCCTCAAACCGGATGCTTGTAGACCACCTTCCAGAGATCTAACACGACGCCATCGTAAAAATTCGTTGCAGTCAGTTTATCACGATGAAGCTGTAGGTCAACAAGCTCAAAACAGGATTCAGCCAAAAAAGCGAGCCTGAAACTTTTTATTGAGCTCAAGCTATTCAACTGATGCACGTTTGCAAAACAAGGGTTAAAAAAAAAAGGATGCAAATATAAGCCATCAGATATATGATGATTGTGCAGGAACAGTTGGGATTGTCGTTTGTGTCACGCTCATCTCTTATCCATTGAGACACTGTGAAGTGATGTAACCAGTGAGGTTTTGTAACAGCTTTATTGAATTGTAATGAGGATATCTACAAACGTTTGTGTACAAATGTGTGATAATTAGCAGGTCTTTGACCTCTGCACTTAATGTGGTGATCAAAATGTATTTGCGATTCCCAGTGAAATCATTCTTTGAGTGCTTAAAAAAGAAATTCATACGGATGTATGACTGTGTTAGACGTTCTCATTTATATTCCGATTGAACGTTTGTAACAATAATTAAGTCACACTCAAGGAACATATGAACGTGTCCATCGAAGGAAATATCGCAGCTCGTGATGCAACGCACACTAATCAACATTTGCACTTGCAGACCAACTAAATAGTTGCGGAGAAAACACATTTAATTGATGACTTTACTATGTTTAGATTAGGACTTTTCAAAGGCGAAGACTGGACTCTTTAGCCATCTTCGTGTTCATAGGAATGATTAACGGAGGACTTTTAAAAGCGAAGACTGGACTCCTTAGCCATCTTCGTGTTTATAGGAATGATTAACGGAGGAATTTTAAAAGCGAAGACTGGACTCCTTAGCCATCTTCGTGTTTATAGGAATGATTAACGGAGGAATTTTAAAAGCGAAGACTGGACTCCTTAGCCATCTTCGTGTTCATAGAAATGATTAATGGAGGAATTTTAAAAGTGAAGACTGGGCTCTTCAGCCATCTTCATGGTTAAAGGATGTAGTTGAGGATTTTTTTTCAAAGAAGATCGGTCTCCATGACCATCTTCGTACTTATAGGAAAGGATATTGTATTAATTTGTTTAAAAATTGAGGATTTTTAGCTGAGGACTAGGTGTAGTAATATAGTCATCAATTGAATTGTTGATCCAAGACTAAATTGTTGGTTATGTCTGTGCATTTGTAGACAACCCAGCAGTGCACATCCTTTTTCTTGTTTTGCTTTTTTTCACGTGCTACAATGCCTTGGACAAAGCATCATCATAACTTGGAATGTTAAGAGGCATTCAAAACAAATCATAGAAGAATGAGTTTGTAAAATAACCGCTTATTTCGGTTCAGTTGAATAATAGTTGGGACATAATTAGTTGAGTGCAAGCTTTGAGGCTGATTCAACCCATTCAACATTAGTTGAGTGCGAAGTTTGTGAGGCTGATTCAGCCCTCAAACCGGATGCTTGTAGACCACCTTCCAGAGATCTAACACGACGCCATCGTAAAAATTCGTTGCAGTCAGTTTATCACGATGAAGCTGTAGGTCAACAAGCTCAAAACAGGATTCAGCCAAAAAAGCGAGCCTGAAACTTTTTATTGAGCTCAAGCTATTCAACTGATGCACGTTTGCAAAACAAGGGTTAAAAAAAAAAGGATGCAAATATAAGCCATCAGATATATGATGAATTGTGCAGGAACAGTTGGGATTGTCGTTTGTGTCACGCTCATCTCTTATCCATTGAGACACTGTGAAGTGATGTAACCAGTGAGGTTTTGTAACAACTTTATTGAATTGTAATGAGGATATCTACAAACGTTTGTGTACAAATGTGTGATAATTAGCAGGTCTTTGACCTCTGCACTTAATGTGGTGATCAAAATGTATTTGCGATTCCCAGTGAAATCATTCTTTGAGTGCTTAAAAAAGAAATTCATACGGATGTATGACTGTGTTAGACGTTCTCATTTATATTCCGATTGAACGTTTGTAACAATAATTAAGTCACACTCAAGGAACATATGAACGTGTCCATCAAAGGAAATATCGCCGCTCGTGATGCAACGCACACTAATCAACATTTGCACTTGCAGACCAACTAAATAGTTGCGGAGAAAACACATTTAATTGATGACTTTACTATGTTTAGATTAGGACTTTTCAAAGGCGAAGACTGGACTCTTTAGCCATCTTCGTGTTCATAGGAATGATTAACGGAGGACTTTTAAAAGCGAAGACTGGACTCCTTAGCCATCTTCGTGTTTATAGGAATGATTAACGGAGGAATTTTAAAAGCGAAGACTGGACTCCTTAGCCATCTTCGTGTTCATAGAAATGATTAATGGAGGAATTTTAAAAGTGAAGACTGGGCTCTTCAGCCATCTTCATGTTTAAAGGATGTAGTTGAGGATTTTTTTTCAAAGAAGATCGGTCTCCATGACCATCTTCGTACTTATAGGAAAGGATATTGTATTAATTTGTTTAAAAATTGAGGATTTTTAGCTGAGGACTAGGTGTAGTAATATAGTCATCAATTGAATTGTTGATCCAAGACTAAATTGTTGGTTATGTCTGTGCATTTGTAGACAACCCAGCAGTGCACATCCTTTTTCTTGTTTTGCTTTTTTTCACGTGCTACAATGCCTTGGACAAAGCATCATCATAACTTGGAATGTTAAGAGGCATTCAAAACAAATCATAGAAGAATGAGTTTGTAAAATAACCGCTTATTTCGGTTCAGTTGAATAATAGTTGGGACATAATTAGTTGAGTGCAAGCTTTGAGGCTGATTCAACCCATTCAACATTAGTTGAGTGCGAAGTTTGTGAGGCTGATTCAGCCCTCAAACCGGATGCTTGTAGACCACCTTCCAGAGATCTAACACGACGCCATCGTAAAAATTCGTTGCAGTCAGTTTATCACGATGAAGCTGTAGGTCAACAAGCTCAAAACAGGATTCAGCCAAAAAAGCGAGCCTGAAACTTTTTATTGAGCTCAAGCTATTCAACTGATGCACGTTTGCAAAACAAGGGTTAAAAAAAAAAGGATGCAAATATAAGCCATCAGATATATGATGAATTGTGCAGGAACAGTTGGGATTGTCGTTTGTGTCACGCTCATCTCTTATCCATTGAGACACTGTGAAGTGATGTAACCAGTGAGGTTTTGTAACAACTTTATTGAATTGTAATGAGGATATCTACAAACGTTTGTGTACAAATGTGTGATAATTAGCAGGTCTTTGACCTCTGCACTTAATGTGGTGATCAAAATGTATTTGCGATTCCCAGTGAAATCATTCTTTGAGTGCTTAAAAAAGAAATTCATACGGATGTATGACTGTGTTAGACGTTCTCATTTATATTCCGATTGAACGTTTGTAACAATAATTAAGTCACACTCAAGGAACATATGAACGTGTCCATCAAAGGAAATATCGCCGCTCGTGATGCAACGCACACTAATCAACATTTGCACTTGCAGACCAACTAAATAGTTGCGGAGAAAACACATTTAATTGATGACTTTACTATGTTTAGATTAGGACTTTTCAAAGGCGAAGACTGGACTCTTTAGCCATCTTCGTGTTCATAGGAATGATTAACGGAGGACTTTTAAAAGCGAAGACTGGACTCCTTAGCCATCTTCGTGTTTATAGGAATGATTAACGGAGGAATTTTAAAAGCGAAGACTGGACTCCTTAGCCATCTTCGTGTTTATAGGAATGATTAACGGAGGAATTTTAAAAGCGAAGACTGGACTCCTTAGCCATCTTCGTGTTCATAGAAATGATTAATGGAGGAATTTTAAAAGTGAAGACTGGCCTCTTCAGCCATCTTCATGGTTAAAGGATGTAGTTGAGGATTTTTTTTCAAAGAAGATCGGTCTCCATGACCATCTTCGTACTTATAGGAAAGGATATTGTATTAATTTGTTTAAAAATTGAGGATTTTTAGCTGAGGACTAGGTGTAGTAATATAGTCATCAATTGAATTGTTGATCCAAGACTAAATTGTTGGTTATGTCTGTGCATTTGTAGACAACCCAGCAGTGCACATCCTTTTTCTTGTTTTGCTTTTTTTCACGTGCTACAATGCCTTGGACAAAGCATCATCATAACTTGGAATGTTAAGAGGCATTCAAAACAAATCATAGAAGAATGAGTTTGTAAAATAACCGCTTATTTCGGTTCAGTTGAATAATAGTTGGGACATAATTAGTTGAGTGCAAGCTTTGAGGCTGATTCAACCCATTCAACATTAGTTGAGTGCGAAGTTTGTGAGGCTGATTCAGCCCTCAAACCGGATGCTTGTAGACCACCTTCCAGAGATCTAACACGACGCCATCGTAAAAATTCGTTGCAGTCAGTTTATCACGATGAAGCTGTAGGTCAACAAGCTCAAAACAGGATTCAGCCAAAAAAGCGAGCCTGAAACTTTTTATTGAGCTCAAGCTATTCAACTGATGCACGTTTGCAAAACAAGGGTTAAAAAAAAAAGGATGCAAATATAAGCCATCAGATATATGATGAATTGTGCAGGAACAGTTGGGATTGTCGTTTGTGTCACGCTCATCTCTTATCCATTGAGACACTGTGAAGTGATGTAACCAGTGAGGTTTTGTAACAACTTTATTGAATTGTAATGAGGATATCTACAAACGTTTGTGTACAAATGTGTGATAATTAGCAGGTCTTTGACCTCTGCACTTAATGTGGTGATCAAAATGTATTTGCGATTCCCAGTGAAATCATTCTTTGAGTGCTTAAAAAAGAAATTCATACGGATGTATGACTGTGTTAGACGTTCTCATTTTTATTCCGATTGAACGTTTGTAACAATAATTAAGTCACACTCAAGGAACATATGAACGTGTCCATCAAAGGAAATATCGCCGCTCGTGATGCAACGCACACTAATCAACATTTGCACTTGCAGACCAACTAAATAGTTGCGGAGAAAACACATTTAATTGATGACTTTACTATGTTTAGATTAGGACTTTTCAAAGGCGAAGACTGGACTCTTTAGCCATCTTCGTGTTCATAGGAATGATTAACGGAGGACTTTTAAAAGCGAAGACTGGACTCCTTAGCCATCTTCGTGTTTATAGGAATGATTAACGGAGGAATTTTAAAAGCGAAGACTGGACTCCTTAGCCATCTTCGTGTTCATAGAAATGATTAATGGAGGAATTTTAAAAGTGAAGACTGGGCTCTTCAGCCATCTTCATGTTTAAAGGATGTAGTTGAGGATTTTTTTTCAAAGAAGATCGGTCTCCATGACCATCTTCGTACTTATAGGAAAGGATATTGTATTAATTTGTTTAAAAATTGAGGATTTTTAGCTGAGGACTAGATATAGTCATCAATTGAATTGTTGATCCAAGACTAAATTGTTGGTTATGTCTGTGCATTTGTAGACAACCCAGCAGTGCACATCCTTTTTCTTGTTTTGCTTTTTTTCACGTGCTACAATGCCTTGGACAAAGCATCATCATAACTTGGAATGTTAAGAGGCATTCAAAACAAATCATAGAAGAATGAGTTTGTAAAATAACCGCTTATTTCGGTTCAGTTGAATAATAGTTGGGACATAATTAGTTGAGTGCAAGCTTTGAGGCTGATTCAACCCATTCAACATTAGTTGAGTGCGAAGTTTGTGAGGCTGATTCAGCCCTCAAACCGGATGCTTGTAGACCACCTTCCAGAGATCTAACACGACGCCATCGTAAAAATTCGTTGCAGTCAGTTTATCACGATGAAGCTGTAGGTCAACAAGCTCAAAACAGGATTCAGCCAAAAAAGCGAGCCTGAAACTTTTTATTGAGCTCAAGCTATTCAACTGATGCACGTTTGCAAAACAAGGGTTAAAAAAAAAAGGATGCAAATATAAGCCATCAGATATATGATGAATTGTGCAGGAACAGTTGGGATTGTCGTTTGTGTCACGCTCATCTCTTATCCATTGAGACACTGTGAAGTGATGTAACCAGTGAGGTTTTGTAACAACTTTATTGAATTGTAATGAGGATATCTACAAACGTTTGTGTACAAATGTGTGATAATTAGCAGGTCTTTGACCTCTGCACTTAATGTGGTGATCAAAATGTATTTGCGATTCCCAGTGAAATCATTCTTTGAGTGCTTAAAAAAGAAATTCATACGGATGTATGACTGTGTTAGACGTTCTCATTTATATTCCGATTGAACGTTTGTAACAATAATTAAGTCACACTCAAGGAACATATGAACGTGTCCATCAAAGGAAATATCGCAGCTCGTGATGCAACGCACACTAATCAACATTTGCACTTGCAGACCAACTAAATAGTTGCGGAGAAAACACATTTAATTGATGACTTTACTATGTTTAGATTAGGACTTTTCAAAGGCGAAGACTGGACTCTTTAGCCATCTTCGTGTTCATAGGAATGATTAACGGAGGACTTTTAAAAGCGAAGACTGGACTCCTTAGCCATCTTCGTGTTTATAGGAATGATTAACGGAGGAATTTTAAAAGCGAAGACTGGACTCCTTAGCCATCTTCGTGTTTATAGGAATGATTAACGGAGGAATTTTAAAAGCGAAGACTGGACTCCTTAGCCATCTTCGTGTTCATAGAAATGATTAATGGAGGAATTTTAAAAGTGAAGACTGGGCTCTTCAGCCATCTTCATGTTTAAAGGATGTAGTTGAGGATTTTTTTTCAAAGAAGATCGGTCTCCATGACCATCTTCGTACTTATAGGAAAGGATATTGTATTAATTTGTTTAAAAATTGAGGATTTTTAGCTGAGGACTAGGTGTAGTAATATAGTCATCAATTGAATTGTTGATCCAAGACTAAATTGTTGGTTATGTCTGTGCATTTGTAGACAACCCAGCAGTGCACATCCTTTTTCTTGTTTTGCTTTTTTTCACGTGCTACAATGCCTTGGACAAAGCATCATCATAACTTGGAATGTTAAGAGGCATTCAAAACAAATCATAGAAGAATGAGTTTGTAAAATAACCGCTTATTTCGGTTCAGTTGAATAATAGTTGGGACATAATTAGTTGAGTGCAAGCTTTGAGGCTGATTCAACCCATTCAACATTAGTTGAGTGCGAAGTTTGTGAGGCTGATTCAGCCCTCAAACCGGATGCTTGTAGACCACCTTCCAGAGATCTAACACGACGCCATCGTAAAAATTCGTTGCAGTCAGTTTATCACGATGAAGCTGTAGGTCAACAAGCTCAAAACAGGATTCAGCCAAAAAAGCGAGCCTGAAACTTTTTATTGAGCTCAAGCTATTCAACTGATGCACGTTTGCAAAACAAGGGTTAAAAAAAAAAGGATGCAAATATAAGCCATCAGATATATGATGATTGTGCAGGAACAGTTGGGATTGTCGTTTGTGTCACGCTCATCTCTTATCCATTGAGACACTGTGAAGTGATGTAACCAGTGAGGTTTTGTAACAACTTTATTGAATTGTAATGAGAATATCTACAAACGTTTGTGTACAAATGTGTGATAATTAGCAGGTCTTTGACCTCTGCACTTAATGTGGTGATCAAAATGTATTTGCGATTCCCAGTGAAATCATTCTTTGAGTGCTTAAAAAAGAAATTCATACGGATGTATGACTGTGTTAGACGTTCTCATTTATATTCCGATTGAACGTTTGTAACAATAATTAAGTCACACTCAAGGAACATATGAACGTGTCCATCAAAGGAAATATCGCAGCTCGTTATGCAACGCACACTAATCAACATTTGCACTTGCAGACCAACTAAATAGTTGCGGAGAAAACACATTTAATTGATGACTTTACTATGTTTAGATTAGGACTTTTCAAAGGCGAAGACTGGACTCTTTAGCCATCTTCGTGTTCATAGGAATGATTAACGGAGGACTTTTAAAAGCGAAGACTGGACTCCTTAGCCATCTTCGTGTTTATAGGAATGATTAACGGAGGAATTTTAAAAGCGAAGACTGGACTCCTTAGCCATCTTCGTGTTTATAGGAATGATTAACGGAGGAATTTTAAAAGCGAAGACTGGACTCCTTAGCCATCTTCGTGTTCATAGAAATGATTAATGGAGGAATTTTAAAAGTGAAGACTGGGCTCTTCAGCCATCTTCATGTTTAAAGGATGTAGTTGAGGATTTTTTTTCAAAGAAGATCGGTCTCCATGACCATCTTCGTACTTATAGGAAAGGATATTGTATTAATTTGTTTAAAAATTGAGGATTTTTAGCTGAGGACTAGGTGTAGTAATATAGTCATCAATTGAATTGTTGATCCAAGACTAAATTGTTGGTTATGTCTGTGCATTTGTAGACAACCCAGCAGTGCACATCCTTTTTCTTGTTTTGCTTTTTTTCACGTGCTACAATGCCTTGGACAAAGCATCATCATAACTTGGAATGTTAAGAGGCATTCAAAACAAATCATAGAAGAATGAGTTTGTAAAATAACCGCTTATTTCGGTTCAGTTGAATAATAGTTGGGACATAATTAGTTGAGTGCAAGCTTTGAGGCTGATTCAACCCATTCAACATTAGTTGAGTGCGAAGTTTGTGAGGCTGATTCAGCCCTCAAACCGGATGCTTGTAGACCACCTTCCAGAGATCTAACACGACGCCATCGTAAAAATTCGTTGCAGTCAGTTTATCACGATGAAGCTGTAGGTCAACAAGCTCAAAACAGGATTCAGCCAAAAAAGCGAGCCTGAAACTTTTTATTGAGCTCAAGCTATTCAACTGATGCACGTTTGCAAAACAAGGGTTAAAAAAAAAAGGATGCAAATATAAGCCATCAGATATATGATGAATTGTGCAGGAACAGTTGGGATTGTCGTTTGTGTCACGCTCATCTCTTATCCATTGAGACACTGTGAAGTGATGTAACCAGTGAGGTTTTGTAACAACTTTATTGAATTGTAATGAGGATATCTACAAACGTTTGTGTACAAATGTGTGATAATTAGCAGGTCTTTGACCTCTGCACTTAATGTGGTGATCAAAATGTATTTGCGATTCCCAGTGAAATCATTCTTTGAGTGCTTAAAAAAGAAATTCATACGGATGTATGACTGTGTTAGACGTTCTCATTTATATTCCGATTGAACGTTTGTAACAATAATTAAGTCACACTCAAGGAACATATGAACGTGTCCATCAAAGGAAATATCGCCGCTCGTGATGCAACGCACACTAATCAACATTTGCACTTGCAGACCAACTAAATAGTTGCGGAGAAAACACATTTAATTGATGACTTTACTATGTTTAGATTAGGACTTTTCAAAGGCGAAGACTGGACTCTTTAGCCATCTTCGTGTTCATAGGAATGATTAACGGAGGACTTTTAAAAGCGAAGACTGGACTCCTTAGCCATCTTCGTGTTTATAGGAATGATTAACGGAGGAATTTTAAAAGCGAAGACTGGACTCCTTAGCCATCTTCGTGTTTATAGGAATGATTAACGGAGGAATTTTAAAAGCGAAGACTGGACTCCTTAGCCATCTTCGTGTTCATAGAAATGATTAATGGAGGAATTTTAAAAGTGAAGACTGGGCTCTTCAGCCATCTTCATGTTTAAAGGATGTAGTTGAGGATTTTTTTTCAAAGAAGATCGGTCTCCATGACCATCTTCGTACTTATAGGAAAGGATATTGTATTAATTTGTTTAAAAATTGAGGATTTTTAGCTGAGGACTAGGTGTAGTAATATAGTCATCAATTGAATTGTTGATCCAAGACTAAATTGTTGGTTATGTCTGTGCATTTGTAGACAACCCAGCAGTGCACATCCTTTTTCTTGTTTTGCTTTTTTTCACGTGCTACAATGCCTTGGACAAAGCATCATCATAACTTGGAATGTTAAGAGGCATTCAAAACAAATCATAGAAGAATGAGTTTGTAAAATAACCGCTTATTTCGGTTCAGTTGAATAATAGTTGGGACATAATTAGTTGAGTGCAAGCTTTGAGGCTGATTCAACCCATTCAACATTAGTTGAGTGCGAAGTTTGTGAGGCTGATTCAGCCCTCAAACCGGATGCTTGTAGACCACCTTCCAGAGATCTAACACGACGCCATCGTAAAAATTCGTTGCAGTCAGTTTATCACGATGAAGCTGTAGGTCAACAAGCTCAAAACAGGATTCAGCCAAAAAAGCGAGCCTGAAACTTTTTATTGAGCTCAAGCTATTCAACTGATGCACGTTTGCAAAACAAGGGTTAAAAAAAAAAGGATGCAAATATAAGCCATCAGATATATGATGAATTGTGCAGGAACAG